CCGACGAAAATCACGTAAGTCGAATTCACGTAAGTTGGTTTACAGATTTGCATATAAATACGTATAAATTCTGTTTAATTGGGATCTAGGACTAACAGAAACACTAGTTTTGAAGAAAAATATTTAGTAAAATTGCAGTTCTTTATAGATGTTAATACAAAATATTCAAGAAATGAATGAGTAAATAATAATATTAATAATAAATAGGATATTTCGATGTCGATGACTATAAAATATAATAAGTTCGTCTGACAACACAATGCCTTCTTTTTTAACGCTGATTTCCTCGTAGCGAGCTAATTTTTTATTCCTTGCTTTGTAGCCATAAGGCGTTTTTCGTTGAAGTCTGTGTTTTCTAAAATGTTTAAGCTCTTTACAGCTGAGCTAAAACCTTCTGTCAAGCTTGCAATTGTCATATGCTTTCTGGAGGAACTTTGTCTGAAGTGTCGTATACTTCAGTGACGTTTTGTTCGCGCATCTCTATGAACTCATCGATTGTCAGCTCCGTAGTATGTGAATTCAACAGTTCGTTCACAACATCACCATTGACTTCCAAATCTAATTGTCTGACAAGATTAACAATTTGTATCACGTGAGCGACATTATCAGTTTCTGGCGTTGTTTACTCTCGTTTTTGAAAAAGAAAATGGACAAAGTTTCTTCCAGACATCATTCAGTGTTTTTTTGGTTTCATCTCAAGCCTTTCCAGTGTTTTTGACGGCAGCTGAAGCACTGAAAAAGTCTTTAACATGCATCTCACTGTTTTGTTTCATATCTTCATTCAGATGTCCAAACGAACGCCTCGTATAGTAAGGCTTGAATGTTTTGATGACTCCCTGGTCCATCGGTTGAAGCAAGCTGGTTGTGCTTGGAGGCATAAACACAACTTTCACACGTGGGTCGAAATCGTTAGAGTGGCAGGAGGGTGACTGACCGGGTGCATTGTCAGTAAGAAGCGTCACCTTAAATGTAAGGATTGCAATATCGTTCGACTTTGGGTGTGAAGTGGTGACGAAACCAGTCCTCAAAAACGGAAGGTACCACCCAAGTTTTATGATTTGACTTCCAGATCACTGGTAAGCTAATTTTAGATTATTTTTTAAGGCTCGGGTTTTCGGAGCAGTAGATTAAGAGAGGTTTTAACTTGCAGTCACCAGCTGCATTCCCGCCAACCATCACTGTCATTCGGTCTTTAGTAACCTTAATTCCTGGAATGTTTTTTCCTACACGTGCGATAAAAGTTCTTTTATGCTTCTTCTAGAACAGGCCAGTCTCATCCACGTTAAAGACAGTTTCACTGCTATAGTCACCTTCTTCTATTATGGCCTTGAGTGTCTCACGACACGACAAAACGACCCAGCTTCTTTATCTGCACTTGCCACCTGTCCACTCTTCGCGATGCTGTGCCAATTACAGCGAGTTTTAAATCGGTTGAACCATCCGTTACTAGCTAGGAAGTTTTCATCTTCGTCCGCCTTCCCAGCTTCTTTTTTCAACCCCTCAAAAGTTAGTTTAGCTTGATTTCACACAGTGTTCTGATCGATGGGCAATTCATCACTTGATTATCACACCATAATTTCAGCATTGTGTCCAACTCGGCAATTATATCATTACGTTTTCGAATTATGCTTGAGTTCAAGGATTGAGCATTTATCACCGCATCGAGAATTCTTTCTTTAATCTTTTATGATTGTTCTTACTGTGGTATTCGATAGCTCAAATTTTTTTGCCAATTGACAAATTTTCATTCTGCTCTCAAAATCTTTGATGTTATTAAGTTTACATTCAAAAGTTATCTTTTCCTTTTCTTACTAGGTTCAGGAGAATCAGATTTACTTCATTTGGACGACAGTTTTCAAGCGTTTAGAAAACGTGTAACAAAACAGTCTTAACTGTCATCGATCGTAGAATCGTAATCATGCACGTAGATTTCGCGCGAAGCGTGTCCAATGTGTATCGCGGCAAGAGAAGCACTGAAGATGGCAGACGGCAGTTTGCCAAGCGAAATAAAACCGCGTAACTGCGAGTTCGCGTAAGTCGGGGTATTACTGTATGTATATACCGCACAGAGTGTTAAATCCGTCTGTACCGATATGGGTTGATATTGAACCGTTGTTGATGCTAAATCGGTAACTGTTTCTCTGACTGCTTTATTACTAATCCTGTGCATTGCTTCTGTAATTTTGTATCTACGCTTTTTCTTGAGTTTAGCTCGATGCGTAGACGACAACGAGCTAAAAATTATAAATTAACGTTTTTGACTTAGCAGCAATCAGTTTCAGTCCATATTGGTACCGTGTATACTGCACGCTAGAACACTGCTACCATTTCCAGCAGCCCACCATTGTATGATTCATGGAATTCTCGGAAGCTTTCGATTCGGCTCATCGAGATTGTCTGTGGTGCATTTTCGATGGCGTTACTCAGAAGTTTGTGAACCTAATTAAGGCATGTTAACCGGTGTGCACT